ACCGCCTGCCTCACAAGCACAGAGTCCCAAGTTTGAATCCTGATACAGAGAAAAAAAAAAAAAAAGACCAAAAACCAAACCCAACACCCGAAGTTATGTCAGGAAAGGTTTATTTGACCCACAGTTTGTAGAGGTTCCAGTCCATAGTTGGCTGGCTCCAAGGCAGGGTGGCAGGGCAGAGGGGCAGAGGAGAAACAGTTCATGGCAGGCAGAAGGTAGTAAAGCAAGCAAAGGACCTAAGGAGCTTCTTTCTGCCCTTTTGTATATTCTATCTAGGCTACTGGGATTATAGTGGCACCAAAGCAATCAGTGGGCTGATTCGTAATAACACACCCTTGCATCGCACACTCTACAGCCACCTTTGAAACAGCCCCACCTATGACCATATGAGGCTTTGGGGGGCATCTAGGTACAAAACATAACACAGTCTAATGACAGTGATAAGTAGTTTAACATAAACTGTGGGAAAAAAAAACCTATAATTAAGCAATTGTATTTACCCTAATGGAGAAAAACCACCTTAACAGTTAAAGCATAAATTGCCAATCATGAAACACTGTTACTACATATATCCCTATTAGTTCATCCTTTTTAAAGGATAATGATTGTTTTAGAAAAGTAAATGTTTTAGGGCCAGGGATTTGGCTCAGTGATTCTGCTCACTGCCTCGCAAGTGCAAGGACCTGAGTTCAATCCCTGGTACCACCCCCAAAATGACCCAGACAGGAAGAATAAATAAACAAATAATAAAAAGTGACTCATAGCTGGGGATTTATCTGGGGTTCTGCCACCTGCCTCGCAAGTGCAAGGACCCAAGTTCAATACCCGGTTCCAAAAAAAAGTGACCCATAAAATTATGCACAGTGAATTTGCAATAGTGTGTAAAAAGTTTAACACAAATGAATCTAGCACTATAAAGTTCAATCTGGGGGCCAGGAATTTAGCTCAGTGGCACCACGCCTGCCTTGCAAGCACAAGGTCCTGAGTTTTATCCCTGGTACCACACACAAAAAAAGTTCAATGTGGGGCTGGGGATTTGGCTCAGTGGTGCTGCACCTGCCTTGTAAGTACAAGGTCCAGGTCCAGAGTTCAATCCCTGGTACTACACACACACACACACACAAAAGTATAATCTGGGTGACTTTCTCTGGCGGTAACACACTACTTCTTTGAGTGTGTATTTTAATTTTGCCTAATAAATCCATTCGTGTCTCTTACTGATGTGTCCTGAAAATTCTTTTTCCTTAATGGAAGCCAGCAAACCTGCAACTTGTGTCACACGTGTAGTGAGTCACGGTTCCCTATCTGCTTTGGGTACCACTTTGGACCCTGTCAGGTGACACTTCCTTTGGCAAGCCAGCTCAAGGAGGTAAAGAGGCATCAGGTTGACTTTATTCCAGGATGTAGATTTATCAAACAACAAAACCCAGCTTCCTTTGTCTCCTTTAGATGAGTCAGAATGAGACTTTCAATCCACGGCTAGGCAGGGTCAGTGCTCTCCCTTGGCCTGAAGCAGCCATAGGCACATGGACCTTCAGCCTTTCTGCATCTATTAAGAATAAGGGATCGGGCTGGGGCTTTAGCTCAGTGGTGCGACCACCACCTGCCTCACATGTGCAAGGTCTTGAGTTTGATCCCCCCACTGGGGGGGGATAAGGGATCAAAGTAGGGGGTGTGGATGAAGTAGTACTAAAGTATATCTTAGGAGTATATCTTCAATATGTATCCATTTCCTATGAATGAATCTATTTTCTCGTTCTTTATGGCTGGGTAATATTCCATTTTATAGAAAAACCACATCTTCTTTACCCAGTTTCCAACTGATGGGCAAATGGGCTGTTTCCAAGTTTTAGCTATTACAAACTGTGCCGCTATAAACATGGGTGCACACAGGTCACTGTGATATGATTCTTTTAGTTCTTTTGGAAAGATACCCAGCAGAGGGATGGCTAGGTCAAATGGAACCTCCAGTCCCAGCTCTTTGAGGTATCTCCATATTGATTTCCACAGTAGTTGCACCAGTCTGCACTCCCATCAACAATGGAGAAGCAGTGGAACAGACCGGAAGACACAAAAACAAATCCAGATGTACTCAGCTACCTCATCTTTGACAAAGGAGCTGACCATCCTCAGTGGAGGAAAGATAGCCTCTTTAATAAATAGTGTTGGAAAAACTGGATTTCAACCTGCCACAGATTAAAACTGGACCCTTATCTTTCACCATGCACTAAAGTAAAATCCAAGTGGATTAAAGATCTAAATATTAAAACAGAAACATTAAACTTGCTGGAAGGTAAGTTAGGCAGAACTCTGGAAGACATTGGCATAGGAAAAGACTTTATGAACAAATCCTCAGTAGCATGGGAGCTAGCAGAAAGAATCAACAACTGGGATCTCATCTTATTAAAAAGCTTCTGTACTGCAAAAGAAACCATCAGCAGAACTAAGAGACAACCTACAATGTGGGAAAAAATTTTTACCAGCTGCTCCTCAGACAAAGGACTATTATCTAGAATATATAAAGAAATCAAGTGAGATAATGAAAAGATGGAACTATAGTGGTTGTAGATGGGGAGGGGAGGAGGGGGTAAAGGCAGGGCAGGGACAAGGGGAAAAAATGAGAAGCAAGACTTGTCATGTAGAGGTACAAGATCCCAACAATGAATGTAACTGTACTGTATCCCTAAAATGTACCAATAAACTCAATTAAAGCTGAAAAAAAAAAGAACTCAAAACAATCAGCTCCCCCAAATATAAAGACCCGATTCAAAAATGGACATCTGAAATGAACAGACATTTATCAGACAAAGAAGTAAAAGCAAGTAAATATATGAAAAAATGTTCCACATCACTGGTCATTCGAGAGATGCAGATGAAAACAATACTGAGATTCCACCTCACCCCACAAAGAATGGGTGCTATCAAGAAATCACACAATAACAAATGTTGGCAGGGTTGTGGGGAGAAAGGAACTCTTCTCCATTGTTGGTGGGAGTGCAGATTGGTGCAACCACTATGGAAATCAATATGGAGATACCTCTTTTTTTTTGAGACAGGGTCTCATTTTGTAGTGCAGGAGGTCCTTGAACTCACTATGTAGCCCTAGCTGCCCTCAAATTTGTGGCAATTGTGCCTTAGCTTCCTGAGTCCTGGGATTACAAGCAAAAGCCACCACAACTAGCTATCAACTGTACTTTCAAGAAGAATGAGACTTCAGGACATAGTTACCCAAAGTTATCCATATCTATACTTTTTAGACTTCTTTATGCTTCTTTTCATGGCTCAAATCCCTTAAAAGATACTGTAAATCTTTAAATTAGCTTAGTTGATAAGGTAAAAGGTCAGAAACCTAATTTAAGGGGAAGATTCTGAGCCAGGCATAATGGCACACCACTGTAGCCCCCAGCACTCAGTAGGTTGAGGCAGGAGGATCACTGGGAGTTAGAAGCAGCCTGACCCTCATAACAAGATCCCATTTCAGACAAAGATTTTTTGTTTTTAAACAAAGATTTCCAAGGATGTTTTAGGCAAAACATCTCAAATCACTAATCTTAAAAAAAAAAAAATACTGGAACTATACTATTCTCTGAGCCATTATCTTTCTATCTGTGAGTATATCACTTCACTTCTGTGAACCAAACATTCTGTAGGTTTGCAAATTCCACACATTTGTACCACAAAAATAAATATTCCCAGCTCCACACTGTAATGTGTCTCTTAGGGGCCAACACTCTTTGAGTGTATACTTTTTTGTGCCCTATAAATCCCTTTACACCCCTTTTAAAAAATCTGAATTACTCTGAGGACTTGCCTTAGGCAAATTATTATGCACAATTTCAGTATATATAAAATGGATATCTAAAATTAAGATAACTCACTGATGCCATATCATTTATATCTGTGATAATACACAAGGTTCAAAAATCAGTATAAGGGAAAAGAAATATAAGAAGAGGAAAAAATGGAAACAAAGTCTTTGTAAATAGATAAGGGTGGAGGGAATGAAGGGAAAGCAGGGGAATGGGGAAAAAATAAGAACCAAGATAAATCATATAAAGGTACAAGATCCTAATGATGAATGTAACTGCATTGTGTACCTAAAATATACCAATCAACTTAATGGTAAAAAAAAAAATCAGTATAAAAACTTGTGGAGACAGGAGGCTCCCCACAAATTTTGGAGCCAACCTGGACTACACAGTAGTTCAAGGCCAGCCTGAACTGCATAGTGAGACCCTGTCTCAAAAACAAAAAAACAAAACAAAACAACAATAACAAAAAAACTTTTCCAATACTGTACATATCAAAAATAAATTAGGAAAATTAAAGGAGTAGCTCATTGACAGAGCATATGCATAGCAGACATGAGGCCCTGGCTCAATCCTCCACACCTAAAATAAAATGAAAGTAAATGACTAAAACTAGAGATAAAAGGAAAAAGTGAGGACAGTGCAACATAAATTCTCAGCATGGAAATTAGTGTAAGTATTTATATATTTTCCCACATTTAATTATAGTAATACCTTGGTTCACGAATGCTTTTGTTTGAAAAAAATTAGGTTGAACAGAAGCATTTGGAAAAATTTTGCTTCTATTCACAAACTCCACATCAAGTGACAAACCCAAGTGTGGGCATCTTCCCCACAGGAACACGAACACAGACATCCTCCTCAGAACTGTGGAACGAATTAAATGTGTGAACTGAGGTATCACTGTACTTTATAAACCATGGCTCTGATAAGAAACTTAAAATAGCAGGTCAAGTTTGTGGATTCATTTTATGAAATGTGTTACAAAGAAAAAGAATGAGCAAATGGTGTAATTTAAAATCTTTATTGATTCATGTTTTCTAGAAATATTGTATTTTTAAATAAATCACCAAAGGCCAAATACTTCTCTCTCAATTCTTTTTTTCATTTGTTTGGGTTTTGGGGAGAAGGGGTTGAGGCAGGGTCTCACTATGTAGTTACGAGATTCAGGCTGGCCTCGAACTCCCAGCGATCCTCTGGCCTCAGCCTTTCAAGTGCCGGGATTATAGGCCTGTGCCACCATGCCTGGCTCGTTTCTCAATTCTAAGCCACCAAATATAACACTTATTTCCCCACCAAATATAATACTTATTTTTTAACTAATCAGTTTGTGATAGCTGTGATTCTCAAATCTTTTTTCAAATACAAAAATACAAGATCGTAGCAAACAATTGCAATTTAAAAAACAAAAAAACAGGAAAAGCCTTACTCTAACTGATCAAATCACCGATCATCTGGATTCAGCCTTCTTCAGCCGCAACGTCTTTGTTCACCAGCACTGCACACACGGAAGGTGTCCCCACAGATGTCCTCACATCACAGGTGCAGGTGCTGCAAGTAGCAGCCAGGGAATAGAGGGGGGAGGCCCTGCATTTCAGTTCTATTCTTCAGCAGACACTTCTCCGCTCGCTGCATCATCTTCACCTTTATCCTTGCAAGAGTCTTGACTGTTGCTATCAATAAAATAATTTTCTTCCCCATTCTCTCTCTCTTCTACTTTTTCTTCTTCATTTAAGCTAGAGGAAGAAATTAATGAATCTTTCAAAGGAAAAACGAATTGGTTTAAAGGCATACAAACCCTCTGCAGTAGACACCATCATATAGCCCGTCTTCCTCAAGTTCCAATTTGTTGTCAAAGAGAACTCCACGAATAAAGTGTCAATTGGGAAATTAAATATTCTTCTGAGAACTAGTTTATTTCAAAACTTGAGTGACTGACTCTTTAAACTTGAAAGTATGCGTTATTTTCATTATTTATGTTACCAGAGACCTCCTCTGCTTTAAAAGAGCAAAATATTTCATTATCATGTAATATTTTGTGTCAAACATGGTAAAATATCAGTAAATTTTATAACAGTTTATATGTATTCCCTTAGGGAAAAGTTTTTCTTTTAAATAAGACAGATGAGTATGGTTTCCTGCAAGTAAGAATGTTTTCAAATGTGAACCATTCAACATCTTATATATGTTACCTTTCTTTATCTTCCGTGAAACTTTTCATCTCTTGATTGCTGAGATACTCAAATACTTTTCCACTTTTGCCTTTCTTTGAAACAAACTCATCAGATATTCCTAGTGCTTTTAGTTTGTTAGAATAATGCTTTTCTGCTGCCATTCTCGCATTTTCCTATAGGAAAGACAAATCTTTTTAGATGAGAACAAAGACTTTAAATTTTCATTAAAAATGTATGGGTTAAAAGTGCCAGTGAAAATTAAGTTTGACAATCAAAAGTGATTGAAATTCACATCGTGGTATGACCTACAATGATAATTCTAGGTATATACCCAGAAAAACTCTAAACATGTGTCCCGGGAGTCACGTAAGAGCATGCTCAGAGTAGTACTGTCTATAATAACTTAAAATTGTAAAGAGCCCAACATCTGTCAACAGTTGGGCAGGTAAATAAACCATAATCTATTTATACAACAGAAAAATAAAGCAATGAAAATGAACTACTGTTATCTACCACATCACTGATAGATACCAGAAATAAAATACCAGCAAAGAAGGAAAGCATAAAAGAATATATCTAGTATGATTCATTTATCTAAAATTTGAACAGGCAAAACTAAATTATATTGTCTGGGCATGGCCACATAGGTGGTAAAACTGCACAGAAAAACAAGAAAATGCTTATCTTAAAAATCAGAATGGAGCGGGGCAGGAAGGTGGGGATTTAGCTCAGTGGTGCCGCGGCCTGTCTTATAAGTACAAGGTCCTGAGTTTGACCCCTGGTACCAAAAAAAAAAAAAATCTGAATGGGGTTAGGGATGTATTTCAGTGGTAGAGTACTTGCCTAACATGCATGAGACTCTGGGTTCAACCTCCAGCACTGCAAAAATAACCAACAAATAATTAAGCAATTACGAAAGGTGCTTACCTCTAGGAAAGTAGAGGGCCGTGATCTGGGAGTGGTACATCTGGAGTGCTGGTATGCTAGCTCTACCTGCTAACCTGAGTGGTGGCCACAACAAGGATTGACTTGTAATTATTCTTTACAATGTACTTAGGTTGTATATACTTTTATGACTATGTAAGGTATCTGAAAAAAACATTAATAAGATCATGGGATAGTGGGCCACTCTTTATGTGCTGTAATTTTTACTCTTTATAAGCCATATCCCAAATCCATCAAAGATAATAAAATCATCAATTTGCTATCTTTACTCCTTGTAGGAAGCAAAGGATATAGCAAAAAGGACATGGATTTGGAACTAGGTTCTAATCTCTGAATGTTACTTAGTGTGAAGGTCTGTTGGAGTTGTGAGAATCCTTTCATGAGGTGTATGAATTTGAAAGCATCAAAGTTCATGAAACCACAGGTTTTATGGAGCTACAAAATGACTGTGTTCACACTAGTTCCTTGGCTTTTGTACATTATTAACTTCTATAGGTGAGTGTGAACTAGTCAGCGTAGGGCCAAGAGTTGCCCTCAGGACTTCCATCTAAAGAATGGCACTGTTCCAATGAATCAATAACATCCCATACCGCAAAGGATATGGACTAGCACCCAGTCTAACCCAAATATAAAGAAACTGTCAGGCACAGTGGCACAGGCCTATAATCACAGCACTCAAGAGTCTGAGACAGGAGAATTACTGCAAGTTAAGAGGCCAGCCTAGGCTCCATAGTGAGTTCAAAGACAGCCTGAACTACATAGTGAGACTCTGTCTCCGAAAAACCAAACCAAACTAAAACAATAAACATTAAGAAATCAAGATCCCTCTCCAGAGGTCCCAAGGGTGACAAATGGTAGACTCAAATCTCTTGACCTTTAACTGGCCTTTTCCGCTCTATCACACTGTTTTCTAAGTGACAGCAGTAATTCTGGAATTCAAGGGTGGCCCAGAGCTTGCCAACAGCAATGCAATTGTCAGCTATTAGTCTACCCAGGGACTCTAGTATAATAAGACCCCATTGAATCTAATGTTAAACATGAGAAACCAAAATAGTAAAGACTGATTACAATGCATAAAATTACCACTAGTGCATTTCTTGATAATCTGGAAACTGGAAAAAAAAATGCAGCCACTGTGAATAATAGTTAACAGTTTGTTTTTAAACAGTGTGAATGCCCACAGTCAAGCCTTGGTGAACTAAAAGGCAGGCTGAGGTGAAAAATGAGAATTATGCCCCAAAGACCACAGAAGAAAATAAAGAAACCCCGAACCGAACTCCGAGTGCATCAAGAGTATTGCATTCTTATTTAAGCAAACTAAATATAAAAGATATTAAAAAGATACTATTATCTTTAATGTTAGTACTAAAGTTAGTGCTAGTAACCTTCATTTAAATTTGATTTAAAATTCAATTCATATTTATTTACTTAATAAACTCTGTGATTTCCAAGAAACAGCACAACATCGTTTGTTGTATAATGAGTCATAGGCATATTCTGCTACAGTTACTTGACAGATAGGATTGCATAATTAACTTATAAATGAGCAGAGCATAAAGTTGTAAGTGAATATTTTTGAATAATAGCTGTTAGTAGCAATCATCACAGGAAAATCAGACTTCAAGAAAAAAAGTATTTAGGTTAAAAAAATAAAACAAAATAATGGTGATTCACGATCACAACCACTCTGTACACAGAATCATCTTTTAATATTTTACATCATGCTAAACAATTATAACTACTTCTAACTGCAAGAAATACTTCACCCATGCATTCCACCACGTAAAAGAACTGTAAAGACTATGAAATAAAAGGAATAGTTAAAACAGTAGTACGGTTATTTTCTTTTTCTATCAATGACTGCTAAGAAGGATTATATTTGTTTCTTTCAGAAACTAAAAAAAGTGATGATGAAAGTTTGTCCCTAGTTTGAAGGGGGAAATTTTTTTTAATCATTAGAATTTTAGTTTTTAGTAAATCTTTCATTTTTTTAACAATAATGGAATAATTACCTTGTAACAAGCTCTCATAGGATTTAGGGACAGTATGGTGAGAGAAAAGTGTTTTGAGTGAAGGAAACATCAAATATGAGGGCCAAAAGGGGGAGAAGAAGTATCAGCTATAAAACTAACCTGTTTTTCAACATTTAAATTTTTTATGGGTTTAATTTTATATGTGCCATTTATTTGGTCACATTTTCTTTGGAGCTTAGAAACAGTGGGTATCCACAGCATGACAGTTTATTAACGCTGACTCATCACTAATAATCAGAGTAGCACTCTTATCCCCAGCTACCCCAGAAAGAAAATGTAAGGTCTGTCTGTTCAATGTGATCATAATTACTGAGTTTTGGGCCAAAAAATGCTTATTAACATCTCCATCATGCCAGATATGGTGCTTGTTACTGTGAATACAAAGATTTGTCTACTACCCATAAAATGAATTGCCTGAAACAGATGAAGTACCATTACATAGATAATTTCCAACATTGTGGCAGGGGCAAAGATGTATGCACAGGGCAATAAGAAAACACAGAGGAAAGGGTGCCCAACTCTGCATGGGAGAACAAGGGAAGGAGTGGTTGTATACTTGATACTGTGTGATGGCAGGTGTAGTCCAGGCTTTTGTGTATGAAGAGAAAAAAATTGCTGTGTGTACACCCAGTAGCAGGTGGCAAGCAGTGACATTTATTGAAGATCACAGGAATCTGTGCTCAGGGTAAATGTGTGCTGACAAAAGATAAGGCACAGACAGAAAAATGGTGCTGCTGGGGTGGCAAGAAAGCAAAAGTATATGGGCCATAGCACACAGAAATAGCAACAGCCCCCAATTAGATGAGGCTTTCCAAATTTAAAGGATATGCACCTCTGCCCAGGTGCCTGCCCTGAATCTAGGTGTAACTGACAGGAATGGATGACAAAATGCTGTGTTATCTCAGGTGTCTCAATATGCAAGTCTGACCCAGAATTCACTTTGATCATAAGTGCATGATTGATGTGAGATGGGAATAGAGTGAGGGAGACCAAAGGTCAGGCTAGGAGATCCAATACACATGTACTCTATTTTATTTTCCACTTCTCTTAGGACAGTGGAAGGAGGAATGGCCACAGGGTGCTGTTTAAAATGAAACGGATGGAAGGAGTGATTCCTCAAACTTCATTGTTTCTAAGTGTGCCACACTGACTTCAGTGAGTAGGAGTAAGGTAAAAATAGGCTCTCAGGGTGCTTAGAAAACAACACAAAGACTTCAAGTTTGAAAGTGTAGTCTAGTGGTGTGGTATGGCCTGAAAATAAAGGGTGTGCATGGGGATAACATAAAGTGGACAGAAGAGTGCAGTGAGAGACAAAGAGGGACCACAGAGGAGTCTGTATCTGTACCATGGGAAGACCTGTGAATTTATCTTCCGGAAGCAGGGCAGCTTATGGTTAAGTAATTATAAGCAGATCAACTTGGGTTCCAATTCTAGTTCTACCATTCATTAAGTATAAACTTATGAGTTACTTTCTTTGAACTTCAGTTTCTTCATCTGTAATATGGGGACACCTACCTTACAGCATTGTTTGGAGAAGTTAATGACAAGGCCCCTTGATTTCATTTAGTGACAATGACAATAAATGAAATCAGTGAGAATGGAAGACTGTCACTGTTACCAAGGGTTACCACTTGCCTACCCAGGTTAACATTTTGGCAGAAAGGGCTGGGGATTTAGCTTAGTGGTTCCACCACCTGCCTTGCAAGTGCAAGGACCCGAGATTGATCCCTAGTATCAAAAAAAAAAAAAAAAAATTTGGCAGAACAGCAATGGCAAGGTAAAGATATAATGGGTAGCTTTGCAAAACTGAAGGCAGGAAAATTAGTCAAATCTTAATTCAGGTAGGAATTAATAGTTGTTTCCCTTGCATTTCACCAGCAGCCAAGATTACTTAGCAAAAAATTTGACAAGTCTTTCTGACCAACTCAATTTGGAAAGAAAAGAAATATGAAGTTCTCAGCCGTCTAAGTGATATCACCCAATCACAGCAGGAGGTCAACAGGAGGATCCAGGTGGAGTGCAATTTGAATGGACAAGGTGGCATACACCTATAATCCTGTAATCTCAGCTACTTGGAAGGCAAAAAGCAGGAGGACAACGAGTTCAAAGCCAGCCTAGGCAACTTAATAATATGCTGCCTAAAAAAATAAAATAAAATAAAGGGAGCTTGGGATATAACTCCATGGTAGAGCACTTGCAAAGCATGTGTGAGGCCCTGGGTTTAAACCTCAGTACTTCTAAGGAGTTGGGTATGTCATGAAGAATTTACAGATTGGAGAGAGTTTCTTTGAGCTAAAAGTTAATTACTTTATGCTATACAACATAGAAGAGTTTAAAATTATTTCTTCCTCCTAAAGTTGAAACTGAGTTTTTTTTTTTTTTTTTTTTTTTTTTAACCAGGGATCAAACTTGGGTCCTTGTGCTTGAGAGGCAGGTGCCAGAACCACTAAGCTAAATCCCCGGCCCGAAACTGAGACTTTTTAAAAAGTCCATCCTTAAAGAGGAGAGCCATTACATAAAATTGTATCTAAATGAGTAAGAAAAGATTACATAACTTTGAGAGCCTGTACTGTTTAGATTTACACACATAACATGTCCATCACCCCGGTGAGTCATTGACAAGTACAGTCCTGCAATTCTGTTCATGTCATTGGTAAGTGCTGCAATTGTCTACTGTCCAACTATAACAGCTTGAAATTCACAACATAACAGCTGTAACCTCCACTGATTTTCTGTTGTTAAGCAATGTCACCCACACAAACCCTTCACTTACAGAATCAAAGGAGAACATCAGCAGAAATTGATAAATTCTCTTAAGGGAAAGATTATAAAAATGAGTCTAACTTTAGAAAAATCAGGACCCACTGTCTATAAGATCAGTTTGATTTCCTGTAACAAGGAAGTCTTTTTAGTAACTGTACATAAGATAGATTCACTTTTTTTTAAATTGGCAGAAATAAATATGATTAGTCATTTGTTTCATTTTTTAATTCATTAGAGATCTCCAAATTATTTCATGAATCTTCACTTTAATATATAACCCAATTGCTACTTAAAGACCAGCCATTAAAAACAGGTTATGAAACTAGTATTTTGAGAACTGGATTATCTGCATGTTCTTTAACAAACTTATATGTCTCATCACAAAGATTCATGTTCAAATTTTAAGAAAAATAATTTCCTTGGCTGATCTGATGAAGCTGTCACAAAAACACTAATACCTCTCAATAATTACATGACAACTAAAAAACTGGACTGTAAATCTGGGAGCTGAAGATGTTAAAACAATTCAAAAAAGGCAGACAATAGCTCTTAAATTCCAATAAACACAACCTGAGAAACTCTTTCAAATAGTAATGGCCTCATTTTTAATTTTTCTTCTCTTTCTTCTAGTTCTCGTCGGTATTCTCTCATCCTTTCCTTTTCACTCTTTCTAAAATCAGATAAAAGAAGTGGACTTGTAAAAGTTCATCTAAGAAAATAAGTATATATCATTTTGCTTAGAGGAAAATCAGAAATTATGAGCACAGTTTACCTTAATTCTTTTTTAAAATTGATTAATTCTCATGGAATACAGAGTAAAACCTGAGGTTCTGAGAACACCTGTTTCATTGCCCAGGAAACAGTCTGCATACTTTGATTTCCAAAATCTTCAAGGCCTAATGTACTTATGGGCTTCAAACTGGCCTGAAGAGATGAACAAATGTTCTCTTTTCTCATAAATTTAAAAGTGTACAAAACCAAGAATATGTGATCCAAATTAGATTTTTATCTTTAAAGAATTTATTCTGAAAATAGGACCGTGTTCTTGTTTTTTCCCATAAATGAGATTTCCTGAAGATTAGCAGAAGTTAGTTAAATGAGAGCAGGTCAGAGACAAATGGAAAGCATGGGAATTAACACTTAAAGGAATAGGAATTAAAAATATAGAAATCTACTCTAAGTGTACTTACTCTTTGGACCAGATTCTATAATGAGTTAAACTATATTGTTTTTCTCTATGTAATAAATGTTAAAGCAACCAAGATGATATTTATCTTGAATAATTATTCAGAAAATAATTATGCTTCAAAATTATAATTATGTTTAATTATAAACAAGTTGGTGCTATGAAAAATTTAGTTCACTTCTTACATATAAATTGTAGCTATGGAAATTTTCATTCCTATTCACAAAATTGAGTTCCTATCAGTACATAAATTCTACAATATAAAGGTATATTCATTGTAATTAAAATTATATATATTGTTTTGGTTCTTATAAATCAAATTAAAAATTAGTAAATCATATTACTTACCAAGTTTGGGGGAGATATTTTCTTACTTAAACATAAATATTTTCATGTGCAATACCTGGAACACTGGTTTTCAAACTTTGTACTCCAGAATCCTAGTATTCTGTGAATGGGTTCTAGGTGTTGTATGGATATTTTATTTTTAATATTGAAATTGTAATAATGGTGCATGCCTGTAATCCCAGCATTGTGAGAATCTGAGACAATCTGAGATTGTAAATTTGAGCTCCACCTGGGCCATTTAGTGACATACCAAGATCCTGTCTCAAAATAAAAAATTTACACTGGGTGTAGTGGCACATGCCTATGATCCCAGCACTTAGAAGGCTGAGAGAGGAGAATCACCACAAGTTTAAGGCCAGCCAGGACTACACAGTGAGTTCAAGACCAGGCTGAATTATATAGTGAGAACCTGTCTCAAACAAACAAACAAACAAACAAACATAATTTTTAAGGCCTGGTGATGTAGCTCAGCGTGAAGCCCGTGGGTTCAATCCTCATTACTGAAAAATAATTTAAAAAGCAACATGCAAAACTTAACATTGACACATGTTAATCAACACATTGCCATAAATGGTATTAATTAACCAAAATGTGTTAATTTTTGCTATCAGATTTTGTGCATAACTAAAGTAAAACTCCTTAACATATCTGTTTATTGAAAAAATATTCTGGGCTGGGGGAACTCAATATAGTGAGTGGGTTTAGTATGCTCAAGGCCCTGGATTCAATTTTAGGGTTGAGATTATATGGAAAGCTTTTTAAAAAGTTTTAACTATGTGAATCAAGATTTTTCTCAATACTGTATTGTACAATTACATGTGATATAAAGAGGGTTGTAGATATAGCTCAATGGTAGAGTATGTGCACAGCATGCAAGAGGCCCTGGATTCTATCTCCAGCATCAGCAAGACTGATGACAGACAGACAGACGGACTGATTTATATGTATGAGAAAAAGGTTAGATGCCAATATAATATTACAAATGCTAACTATGGTCACAGAAAAAAAAAAGTTTCTGTTCCTCAACATAGCTTCATGGTTCTCACAGAGGTGTGTACACTGGTTCTCACCATGAGGGTGCATGCATGTGTGTGTGTGTGTGTGTGTGTGTGTGTGTGTGTTTGTGTGCGTGAACATGTTGACTATAAGTAACTATAATTGGAATCCATAAACTAAAATATTAATACCATTTTCTTTTTATTTACAATTTTTTTCTTTTTGGTGTGGTACTGGGGATTGAACTCAGGACCTTGTGCTTGCGAGGCAGGTGGCAGAACCACTGAGCCAAATCCCTGGCCCAATACCATTTTCAATCTGTTTATATCTTGGTATCCTCTGATTAAAAATAAAGAGGCATGGTGGAGAATGCATGTAACCTCAGCTACTCAAGAGGCTGAGGCAGAGGAATATGAGGCCAGCCTAAGCTATACCATGCAAGTGCTAGCCCAGCCTGGACTACAGAGCAACACCTTGTCAAAAGAAAAGATGGATGGAAGTGGAAGGGAGGAAGGGAGGGAGGGAGAGGGGAATGGAGGGAGAAGGGAGAGGAGAAAAGAAGAAAGTTTGGAAACCAATGTTCTGAATTTTTTCATGATACCTGAGATATTTTACTTTGGATTTAGACATTTGAGCTAAACTTTGATGTGGGTCATAAGCCTTAGCCCGGGTTGTCAGGAGTTTCTGCAATTCTTTTATTCTTTGCTTCTGCTTAGTTAAGATCCGATTTCTTTCTTCTTCCAACATTTTCTTTTCCTCAAGTGATCTCCTGAGGACAATAAACTAAGGCTTAATTCACCTTAAGCCAAGGAGAAAGTTGTTTAACAAAGATTTAACATGAGAGGAATGATTCAAAGGTTGGAAAAAAAAAACCAACCTTTTGGGAAGGATCTGACTTGTGAAATTGGAAATCCAATCAAGGCTAACTGTAATCTTTTCTCTCCCCAAAGATTCACAAAATGAAATATATATTCATTTCTTTAAAAAAAATACCCATAGCAAAATGTTCACTATATAGTAAAATATGTTACAGATACAACAGTTTCTTTTTTCGTACCAGGGTTCGAACTTGTGACCTTGCTTTTGTGAGGCAGGTGGCGGCACCACTGAGCTAAGTACCCAGCAATAGTTTCCTTTTTTTTTTGTTTGTTTGTTTTTGTTTTTTGAGACAGGGTCTCACTATGTAGCTGAGACTGATCTGGAACTCACTATGTACCCCAGGCTGGTCTTGAACTCATAGCAATCCTCCTGCCTCAGCCTCCCAAGTGCTGGGATTACAGGTGTGTGCCACCACACCGGCCAACAGTTTCTTAATATTTTCGAATTCACCAATATAAGACCAACAGAGCTGCATTCACTAGCTTAGCAAACCCAAGTCCCGGTTTTACCTGACGGCTTGTTCTCGTCCTCTGGATGACACTGTGGGCACTGCAGGTCTGCATCTACAAGACGTGGGCTTTGCACTTGCACTTCTTACTGGTGGCTTATGCCTTGGAGACAGACAAGGGCAACATGTTTCTTTCAGATTTTCTTCATCTGCCAAAATATTCTCTCTTTCAGATTTACTTGAGGATGCACAAACATTAAGTGGTCGGTGGACTGTGGAGAGTTTTGGATGCTTGTGTTTTGAGAAGTGTTTCTTACACCCCTCAGGAAGGTTTTCAACATCAGGAGTCTGGGATCGTGCCTTGTGTTTATTCCTTAATTTTCCAGTCTGTTCAGGAGCCTTGGGGTTCCTGGCATGTTTATGACCTGGTTTATAAGGCAGAGGGGATGAGTTCTGTAAAAGCTGTTGGGCTCTCAGTTGGGTCCTGATGTTTCTAAGGAGCTCTTCTTCTTTTAATTTGTCACTGATAGCTGAACTATAAACAGATCGAGGTATTGGTCTGGCTTTAAATTGATATGTTTTTTTTTTAGACTTATACAAGTCTCTCAGTTGCTTTTCCCGGGCTGCTTGCTTCTGTTCCTCCCTTGCAATGAATGTAAATGGCTTTTGTGAGGCCAAAAGAGTTTCTTTGCTTTTCTCCTTCCTAGCCCTCCTCTGTTCTTCATTTTGCTTAACTAGCTCATGATAAAGGGGAAGAAGGACACTCATAGGAACTGGATTGGCTCTGAATTTCTTCTTACACTCTGAATCTTCTTTGCTTTTGAGGACTTTATGTACTATTCTGATATCTGATTTAGATTTCATGGCCTCTTTTTTCTTCTGTTCTCTAATCATCATTTGAAAAGGTACAGGTATTGTAATTGTGGGCACCCATTCTTTTGGTTTCTTCCTTGTCTTTTCAGCTACTTGGAAGTCAGTATCTTCACTCTGAATATAATCATCCACACAAAAGTTGGTCCACATGTTGCTGATGAGCTCCTTAGCATAGGACATCATTTTGTTTTTCCTGGGATGCTCTTTTTCTAGGTTGGGCAACTCTTCTTCAGAAGAAGTATACAAGGAGGAAGACTGGCCTAAGTCTGGCTCCGAAAGTGATGTCATTAACGTGACAGGGCGGCAGGAGTTATTTTCCGACACAGAACTAATGAGAAGAATAAATAGAATTGTATATGACAAACATAAAAATTAAGCTGGAGTCACTTTTTTTTTTTTTTTTGATCCTGGGGATTAAACTCAGGACCTTAGCACTGATATACATCCCGACTCTATTTTATTTCTATTTTGAGAAAAGGTCTTACTAAATTGCCCAGACAGAATTCGAACTTGTAGGCCTCCTGCATCTGCCTCCCAAAGTGCTAGGATTACAAGCATGGGCCACTGCACCTGACTCTAGAGTTACATATTTTCTAAGATGAGAATATACCCAACTAGAAGAGAGGAACTGAGTAGGGCTTGTGAAAATTATCATTTTTATTTAGAACAGAGCAGTGAGATACCTATAAATTATTTAAGTTCATGCCTTCATTTTACAGGGAAGGAGCCTAACATGTCAGAGGCTCTCTAACTTCTGTTAAATTCTCCATATTTTCTAGTCTCCCCAGCCTAAACCACGTATCTAATCAAGTTTCTCCCCTGCTTGAAGCTTTTCGATGACTCCTCAATACCACAAAGACTAGATCATAAAGCCCTTCAGGATTGACCTCTGTTCACCTTTCCAGTCTTATCTCTCACTACTTTCAACCTCCCCTCACCATTCTTAAATCACACCCAGACACAGGAAGCTCCTCACTCACACCAAGATTTCTCACACCACCATGCCTCTGCACACAAGGTTTCTGCTGCGAAGTGGGCCACTCCTTGTTTCCAGCATCTGCTACAACTTTTTTAAAATTTTTATTTTATTAGTACATGTTTGCAGTACATAAAGTTTACAATCATCTTGGGGAGTAGGTACATGTACATAAAATAGCTTGTTTCTTTTTTTAATCCCCTTATTCCTTTTTCAACACTGAACTCAGATGTGATAATTCTGGGGAACATTCGTTTCTGTATCCCTTCAACAAGTTGACATAATCAGCTGCTTCTTCCTCCATTTCTCTCTTTTTTGCAGTACTGAGGATTACACCCATCACCTTCACACTAAGCTACATTCCGCAGCCCCCCTTTTTTAAACTTCAGACAGGGTCTTGCTAAGTTGCAAAGTTGCTCAGGTTGTACTTGAATTTGCAATCCTCCTGCCTCAGCCTTCTAGAGTGCAGGGAGTACAGGCATGCACCATGTACTCAACTACCATTCTCCTCCCAGCACTCCCCCCCTCCCTCCATCCCTTCCTTTCTTCCTTCTTTTTTGGCAGTACTGGAAACTGAACCCAAGGACTCATGCATTCTAGACAAGCACTCTATCACTGAGCTACATGGCCTTTAAAATTTTTTAGTTTTTGAGACAGTATCTCACTAAGTTGCCCAGGTTAGCCGTGAATTTGTGATTCTCCTGCCTTGGTCTCCCAAACAGCTGAAATTACAGCTGTGAACCACCACACTAGGCTTCTTCCTTCATTTATTAAAACTTCTCACATGTTGTAATGCAATTTTTGCTTCTCAGCTATTCTTTGGGGTCTTTGAGGACTTCCTGGTTTTGATTCCTCAGTTTCCAGGCAAGGTGAGGTAGACAGGAGACACAAAATCACCACTGACTAGTGAATTAAGTTGGGTGAATTAGAGACTGGCCTCAAGTTTTCAACACAAGTGACTTCACAGAAGGAATGAGTCTTGAAATTACAGGTCATTTTGAAAAATCAGATTCATGTCTCCTAGTCCTGAAATCTTTGTACTGTTTTTATTTGCAGTATATGTGTATACATGTATGTGTAATATGTATATACTGTACTACACACACACACACACACACACACACACACATACATATAGAGGGGGAGAAGGGAGGAGAGAGAGAGAGACAGGTTCATGAACCTGATTCTTTTCACAATTCTGGGAAAAGTTTCCCCATAAAGTCAACATTGAGCCTAACCATTGCATTTGGTTCAGTTCTCGTCCAATTTGGTTTGTAACCAGAATTATGGAGAGAATTGAGTTCATGAACCAAAGTGCCAGTCTATATACAGTGGTACCTCAGTTCACAAACTTAATTTGTTTTAGGATTTTGGGGAAATGGCCACAGTTGTGTTTGTCACCCAATGTAGAGTTTTTAAATATAAGTAAAATTCTGCGAAATCCTTTTGTTTGGGAACCAAATTGTTTGTGAACAGATACATTCATGAACCGAGGTATTACTGTGTGTGTGTGTGTGTATATATATATATATATATATATGTGTGTGTGTGTGTGTGTGTGTACACACACACACACACACACACATATATATATATATATATATATATGTGTGTGTGTGTGTGTGTGTGTACACACACACACACACACACACATATATATATATATATATATATATGTGTGTGTGTGTGTGTGTGTGTACACACACACACACACACACACATATATATATATATATATATATATGTGTGTGTGTGTGTGTGTGTGTACACACACACACACACACACACATATATATATATATATATATATATGTGTGTGTGTGTGTGTGTGTGTACACACACACACACACACACACATATATATATATATATATATATATGTGTGTGTGTGTGTGTGTGTGTACACACACACACACACACACACATATATATATATATATATATATATGTGTGTGTGTGTGTGTGTGTGTACACACACACACACACACACACATATATATATATATATATATATATGTGTGTGTGTGTGTGTGTGTGTACACACACACACACACACACACATATATATATATATATATATATATGTGTGTGTGTGTGTGTGTGTGTACACACACACACACACACACACATATATATATATATATATATATATGTGTGTGTGTGTGTGTGTGTGTACACACACACACACACACACACATATATATATATATATATATATATGTGTGTGTGTGTGTGTGTGTGTACACACACACACACACACACACATATATATATATATATATATATTTCACAGTAGTGGGGATCAAACTTAGAAGTGCTCTATCACTGAACTACACCCCCAGGTATTTTTTAATTTTGAAACAGTGTCTTGCTAAGCTTCCCAGGCTGGCCTTGACCTTGAGAACTTCCTGCCTCAGCCTTCCAAGTGGCTGGAATTACAGGCCTGTGCCACTGAGACCAGCATCTTTGTATTATAAGTTTAATGAGTTCATGTTAATCCACATATCAGAATGGGTTTTAAAATTAAACTTTATATATGTCACTTAAACAACACAACCTAAATCTTTTGATATATATCTACAGATCTATGAGTGAGTAAAAAAGAAAAACCAAATGGCCACCAAACGACCCTCAAAGAAAGAAATCACTTAGTAAACCAGTAAGTAATTGAGACATTTTGAATAAAATCTCACCTCTGTGTATCATGAAAAGCACTAGGGGATATCCAAGAGAAAATACTCTAAAATAATTTTGTTCCATATTTTTAGCGTACATTTTATTTTACAGTCCACAAATGACATTGAGCACTTACCTGGAAGAGTTGCTAGGAACATACTCCCTGATGGTTATTGGCTGAACTTCTTTTAAATTTAATTTATTCTGGTACATTTTCTCTAGTTTTGCCATAGTTTCTATGTGAGCTGCCTTAAGCTCTTCTAGTTTCTTGAAATACTCTTCATTAGAGTGGCACATATCAGAAAAGCTCACAACGTCACCACAGTTTATACTTCTTTCCAGCACAGAAAAGTTGGTGTTAGAATCAGCCTGGTAGGGGAAAAATCTGTTACATGGTGTCTGGAATCAGAAAAATTAAACTGATATTAATCCAAATGCTGCTTCTTTGTTGTTGTTGGGTTTGTTTTGTTTTGTTTTGGTTTTTTGGTTTTTTGAGACAGGATCTCAGTATGTAGTTGAGACTGATCTGGAACTCACTATGTAGCTCTGGCTGGTCTTGAACTCACAGCAATCCTCCTGCCTCAGCCTCCCGAATGCTAGGATTACAGGTGTGCACCACCACGCCCAGCTGAAACACTGCTTAAGGGATCTACACCTAGTTAGGTTATATTACTTGAGGGCTATGTACATTTTCCTCTAATCATATTTTCAGAACAAGAGAAAGTAAGATCAAACTGCCAGAAAATAAATGCTACTTAATCCATTTTATAATGGGTAGTTAGGTTCCTGGATCAACCAACAAGAGTTATTTAACTCACTATATTCACATTATTGAAAAACGGACCCAAACCACTCTGTATGTTTTCAGTATTGGTATTGAAGACAAGGCCTTGCACATACTGGGCAAGTAAGTATTCTACCCTGAGACACATCCCGACACCTTTTTAAAAATTTTGTTTTGAGACAGGATCTAGCTAAATTGCCCAGACTGCTTCACACTTCTGATCCTCCTACATCAGCCACCCAGATGGCTGGGGTTACAAGCACGTACCAGCCCACCCAGTGCAAAGCAACCTTTACAGTTTCTATAAGGAGGCTTCTTCTGAGTTGTAAGTTTTACCTCCCACTGTAAATCAAGCAAACAGAGGCCAGTGCCATTCCTTGAGCTGGAATTCTGCAGAGTGACTCCAAGGATGTGCCAGTGGAGAGAAGGCAAGAGAACTGAGGAGCGGATGAGGATCAGGAACAAAGTTCTCCAGGAGGGCTTGTTAAGAAGCCATGTGGGATGAGACTTCAGAGGGGAGTGAGAGGACATGAGGGAGAATTAAGGGACTTTTCAGGATCATCTCTTTTATTTATTCACTCATTCATTTATTCATTTATTTACTTTTTGTTTTGTTTTGTTTTGTTTTGTTTTGTTTTTTTGAGATAGAGTCTTGCTATGTAGCTTGGGCTGGCCTGAACTCAAGAACTCGCTAAACTCAAGGCAACATTCCTGCCTCAGCCTCTTGAGTGCTGCAATTACAGGCATGTGCCACCACGCCTGGCTTTAGAACAGTCTTTCCTAGGTGACACAGACTTTGAGAGTGAGAACAGAACAGATGGTTCTGTATGTACATAGTTGTACATATTCTATATACAAATACAACTGAGAGAAAACGTCAGTTTCTTTATAAATTATAAAAATTATAATACGTTCACAGTTGAGAAAGTTGAAATTATTTATCACACTATACATAAAAAAATTATCATCCATGGTTGTAATTTAGCCTACTTCTTGGAACAGTCTCAAAATGAAAAAAGCATATTTGTTACAGAAAATTACAGGTTTAATCAGGTAAGACTTTAGAAAAATAAATCCGTTTACCCTCTCCCAACATGAAAATTCAGAAAAGTCAATTATATATAGTGATTT